TCAGCATCGAACGAGAGAACTGGAGGGCTAGCCATAGCTGAAGTAGCAGTAGCAGAAGTAGCAGTAGCAGTAGCAGTAGCAGCAGCAGCAGCGGTAGTAGTAGCAGTAGCAGTAGCAGTAGTGGTGCTGCTGCTCAGGTAAGGAGGGCGCGGCTCGGCTAGGACGGCGCGGCTCGGCTAGGGCGGCGCGGCTCGGCTAGGGCGGCGCGGCTCGGCTTGGGCGGCGCGGCTCGGCTGGGTCGCGCGGTTCGGCTCGGGTCGCGCGGTGCAGCTGGGGTCGCGCTGTGCGGCTCGGCCGTAGAGGGGCGAGCGCGGGAGGGGCCGTTCGGGGGCCGGTCGGGGCTAGCGCGGGGCCATTTGGGGGCCGTAGGAGGCTAGCGCGGGGCCTTAAGGGGCCGTGGGAGGCTAGCGCGGGGCCTGAAGGGGCCGTGGGAGGCTAGCGCGGGGCCTTACGGGGTCGTGGGAGGTTAGCGCGGGGGCCGCACGGGGCCGTTCGAGGCTAGCGCGGGGCCAATCGAGGCCGGAGGAGGCTAGCGCGGGGCCGTAGGTGGGCCGTGGGAGGCTAGCGCGGGGCTACACGGGGCCGTTAGGGGCTAGCGCGGGGCCATAAGGGGCCGTGAGAGGCTAGCGCGGGGCCGACGCGGGGCCTTAAGGGGCTAGCGCGGGGTCTTAAGACGGGGCCGTGAGAGGCCGTAAGGGGCGACGCGAGGGACCGTGAGGGGCCTGAAGGGGCGACGCTAGGAACGAGGCGCACGAGGGCGCTAGGAAAAGGCGGCGCACGAGGGCGCGGCTAGCGGAAACGGTGGGCCCTAACGTTCCGGTCCTAGGTGGAACCTAGGCTCTGATACCATGTCAGAATGAGAAACAGGAATGTGTGTGACTAGCAGGAACAAACAGTACAAATATGAAACCCTAAACTGGTGTACCCCCTATGGTGTGACCCACTAAAGCCTAGAACCACACAAACATATAATGTTTGACAACCCACAGGCCCAGCAACTCCAGTACTCCCAGTACGAGCACCTCCGAGACCCGCAGCACCAGCACCCTCAGCAGCCGAAGAACCTCCAGCTCCAGCAGCACGCCTCAAGCGCCGGGCAAACCACTCGCGCAGCACCTGTGGAGAGAGTGGCTCCCGTTGAGACGAAGCACCCGGAGAACCTCCAGGCCCAGCACCGCCAGACGCCACACGAGCACGCCCAGCTCCCTCAGGCTCCGCACCCCCAGGCTCAGCACCTCCAGACGTAGCACCCCCAGGCTCAGCACCCCTAGGCGTAGCACCCCCAGGCTCAGCACCCCCAGGCTCAGCACCCCCAGTCTCAGTACCCCCAAGCTCAGCAACCCCAGTAGTAGCACCCGCAGGCTCAATACCCCCAGGTGTAGCACCCACACGCTCAGCACCCCGAGAGGTAGCACCCCCAGGCTCAGCACCCTCAGCAGCACTTGAGTCACCAGTAACCTCGACAAGCTCGACTGCGACTACTTGGGACACACCTGAAGGGGCAGGACCCTGAGGGGGGAGGGGGTCTACCGGGGGGGGCCTGGCACAAGGAAGAGCGGTGGCGGGGGGAGGGAAGGTGTGCGGTAGGGGAAGAGGCGGTAGTAGGGGACCGACTCGTCAAACATGACGTCCTGGAAAAACAGAACACGGCGAGACGTGGGGTGGTAGAACTGCCACCCTGGCGCGTCAAGGGGGAAGCCAAGGAAGACACAAGGAGCAGCACGAGGGGACAGCTTGTCCGCAGACAAGTCGCGGACAAACGTCCGAGATCCCTAGACACGGAACGCAGACGCATCGCCAACCTTCTCCGTCCACAGCAAAGCTGGGGAGGTCTCCGGCACGGAGACCCTGGGGTGAAGGTTGATCTGATGCGCCGCGTACCGAACCGCAAACGGCCACAGAAAATGGGGGGCAGCCGCATGCATCATGGACGTACGGGCGACGTCCATGACCATGCCAATGCGGCGCTCAGCAATCCCATTTTGCTGTGGAGAGTCCGGAAGCGTGAAGGTCTGGCGGATGCCTTGTGCACGACAGTAGGCTCGCAGAAGGCCAGAGGAGAACTCTCCGCCTCGGTCAGAGTGCAAACGCAGAACAGGAAAGTCCGAGCCGAAGCTCTGCCTGCGCTGGAGGCAAGCTGCGCGGATCAAGTCGATCAACACCTCTGTGACATCACCCTTGCTGCGCAAGGGGAAGACAGTGGTGTAACGCGAGTAGTCGTCAACCACCAGCCACTGACCCTGTCTACGGACACGGGCTGGGCCCCACACGTCCATGTGAAGCGTCTGCAGCGGGGCCTCTGTCGGAGGAAACTGGGAGGAGTGAGGGGCAGCCCGCTGCCGCCCCTCAACACAGGGGACGCAGGTAGGGCCAAGCCCCGGAGGAAGGGGAGGGAGGGACGGGGGAAGTCCAGAGACAAGGACACGGGAGGCCATGCCTCGGAGACGAAGCAGGGAGGGGTGACCAAGGGGGTGGTGCCAGAGGAGAGTCTCGTGAGATAGTAGGCGACACGAGCAGGGGGCAGACTCAGGACCAGACCTGGATGCTGCAGCAAACACCTGACCCGACACAGCTACCTGACCAGACGCATTGCCTGGAGGAGACGCAGTGGTAAGTGTGTACAGGCTCGACCCCGGCCGACGTGTAAACGTGGCCAGGTGTCGGCCTGTCCGAGCGTCCTTGCAGTGGGTCACCCGCTGACTCGCAGGAGTGAACTGGTGAACCCCTGAATCCTGTAGGTCAGCACCACTCACCAAGTTCTTAGAGAACGAGGGGAGGTAAAGACCAGACAGGGTGCCAGAGGGGGCCGCCGGACACGGGAGGACAGTGGAGAAGTGAGCAAGGACAGGACCCCTAGTGGGGTCTGCCAGAGAGACTGCAACTGGGCGACCAAGCGGCGTAAGTGTGGTGCGGTCTTGAAAGAAGGAGCGAGAAGCCCCTGAGTCAAGTGTGAAGGTGAGGGAGGCCAAAGCCGACGCGGTACCTGAGAGCGCGGACTCACTAGCACCTGAGGACGCAGACGCACTGGCACCTAGAGCAGCTGCCTCACCAGCACCTAGAGCAGCAGCCTCACCAGCACCTAGAGCAGCAGCCTCACCAGCACCTAGAGCAGCAGTCTCAATGCCCGGATCGGGCGGGAAACACCGGTAACAGTCACTCTCGTCACTAATAGTCACAGCATACATGGCAGCAAGAATAGCATCAAAGTCAAGATCAAAGATAGCTACACCTGCCGTAGATAGCTCTCCCCAGCGGGGGATCTCAGTGGCCTCCGAGAACTGGTGACGCCAAGCGTCCGTCAGGCGGCCAAAGCAGCGCTGGGTGGAGTGCGCACCCCCGCACTGCTCACCCGCGCGGTCGCTAGTGCGTAGGACGTAGGTGCACGGACCAGTACCCCCACCCAGCTGGCGTGCAGCGTACCACTCACGGAGCTGCTGAGGGGGGGGGATGTCACGAGTGCGCTGCTGCTGCTGCTGCTGGCGCTGACCACCACCGGAGCCGACCCTCTGCGCAGCGCCACCCCGATCAGCTCCACCTCCTCCGCCACCGCCTCCTCCACCGCCGCCACCTCCGCCACCTCCGCTCCCACCGCCACCGCCGCCGCCGCCTCCGCCTCCACTGCCGCCACCGACACCTCCACCCCCGCCACCACCCCCACCGCCACCCCCACCCCCTCCGCCGCCGCCACCACTGCCTCCACTGCCCTGGCTAGCTCCTCCAATGCCCCTGCCCACCTTGCCCTTGTCAGGGCGGCTTCTTCCGCTAGGGGTAGACGCCGCACCGACCGACTCAAGCCCAACGAGGTCGGCCGCAGCAGCAGAGGCAACAAAGGGCAAAAGGGGGGAGGGGGAACACCCCTCAAAGATGGGGGTGCGAGGGTCACCACGAGAGGCTCCTACAGCTACTATGCTCTTCTCTGCTGCTAGGAGGGCCTTCTCGAGGAGGTCAACGATGAGAGTGGGGGGGCAAACCGAGAGGAAGTGGTCCCTGACTACGCGAAGGGAGTCAGGGAGCTGGGTGACTATGTAGTAGAGGGTGATGTACATGGGGGGGGGGGGTTCTTGGCGCAGTGTAAGAACATTATAGCTTATGCTTTTGTGTAGGCTGTAGTGGGGTAGCCCATATGGGGTACAACCGAATTAGGGTTAGTACTTGTACCCAACTCTTTCATAGTTTATTCATTCTCGTCGTAGCTTTCTCATGGTATCGAGCAGGTTCCCTCGTGGGAAATGTTCCTAGGGCCCACCAATTCGAACTTTTTTTTCCTGCCCGTAGCGCGCTCAGTTCTTGCCCAAGTCGCGCTCCCCTCTCTCGACCCTCTCGCGCCACCTTATTGGCCCCGTCGCGTTGCGCTAGAGGCCCCGTCGCGTCGCCCTAGTGGCCACATCCCGTCGCGCCGCCCTAGCTGCCGCATCGCCTACTTCTGCGGCCTCTTCGCCGCCCTTCCCGGCCGTGACGCCGCCCTTCCCGGCCCCGATCCGCCGCTCTGCAGCCCCGTCGCCTACCCCGCGGCCCCGGCGCCGCCGTCTCTCGGCCCCGACGCCGCCCTTCCCGACCCGGCCCAGCCTCTGCTGGCCCCGTCGCCTACCTTGCGGCCCCGACGCTGCCCTTCCCGGCCCGACCCCGCCTCTGCTGGCCCCGTCGCCTACCTCTGCGGCCCGGACGCCGCCCTTCCCGGCCCCGACCCAGCCTCTGCTGGCCCCGTCGCCCGCCCTTCTTGGCCCCGGCCCCGCCTTCACGCAACCCTGTCGGGCTACTGCCAAGCCGCCAGCGCCGCCCGAGCCGCCTGAGCCGCCGCGCCTCCTGAGCCGCCCGAGCCGTCGTACCGGCGAGTCGCCGAGCCGCTCGAACCGCCCGAGTCGCCGAGCCGCTCGAGCCGCCCGAGCCGCCCGAACCGCAGTTGCCGCCGAGCCGCCCGAGCCGCCCTGTCCGGTAAGAGCAGCGCCTCTGTCACTGCACTGCCCTTACCCCACTGTTCGCGCTACTAGTCTACTGCTGTCATGGCTACCCCTAGTGTCCTCGCTTTTGACGCTGAGGGTCGGGCCGTTGACTTTGACGTCTGGGTAGATGACCTACAGCTTTTCCTACAGTGCGATAGGGCAGACGGTCTCTCCCTCTTTGACCTCACCTCTGGTGCCTCTCTTGCCCCTACTGCTGATGCTGACGCCACTGTTGGCTCACAGTGGGCCACACGCGATGCTGCTGCACGTCTTGCAGTGCGCCGCCACCTGCCTACCTCTGAGCATGCGCACTTAAGCCAGTACAAGAGTGCTCAGTCCTTGTACGACGCTGTAGTTGCACGCTACTCCTCCCCAGCCACTGCTGCACTAAGCCGCCTCATGCTACCATACCTCTTCCCCGAACTTGCTGCGTTTCCCACAGTCGCTGACCTCATTACGCACCTCCGCACTAGTGACACTCGCTACCGCGCTGCGCTTCCTGCTGAGTTCTGCGCCAAGAACCTCACCCTCCCCCCCCCCCCCCCATGTACATCACTCTCTACTAAATCGTCACCCGCCTCCTTGACTCCCTTCTCGTAGTCAGGGACCACTTCCTCTCGCTTTGCCCCACCACTCTCAGGGTTGACCTCCTCGAGAAGGCCCTCCTAGCAGCGGAGAAGAGCATAGTCGCTATAGGAGCCTCTCGTGGTGACCCTCGCACCCCCATCTTTGAGGGGTGTTCTCCCTCTCCCCTTCTGCCCTCTATTGCCTCTGCTGCTGCGGCCGACCTCGTTGGGCTTGAGTCGGTCGGTGCGGCGTCTACCCCTAGCGGGAGACGCCGCTCTGGCAAGGGCAAGGGGGAAGGGGCGCTGGAGGAGCTAGCGGGGGCGGTGGAGGAGGCGGTGGAGGCGGTGGAGGGGGTGGGGGTGGCGGTGGGGGTGGTGGCGGGGGTGGAGGTGTCGGTGGCGGCAGTGGAGGCGGAGGCGGCGGCGGCGGCGGTGGCGGTGGGAGCGGAGGTGGCGGAGGTGGCGGCGGTGGAGGAGGCGGTGGCGGAGGAGGTGGAGCTGGCCGGGGTGGCGCTGCGCAGAGGGTCGGCTCCGGTGGTGGTCAGCGCCAGCACCAGCAGCAGCAGCAGCAGCACACTCGTGACATCCCCCCCCCTCAGCAGCTCCGTGAGTGGTACGCTGCACGCCAGCGGGGTGGGGGTGCTGGTCCGTGCACCTACGTCCTACGCACCGGCGACCGCGCAGGTGAGCAGTGCGGGGGTGCGCACTCCACCCAGCGCTGCTTTGGCCGCCTGACGGACGCTTGGCGTCACCAGTTCCCGGAGGCCATTGAGATCCCCCGCTGGGGCGAGCTCCCTAGGGCGGAAGTAGCTGTCTTTGACCTTGACTTTGATGCGATTCTTGCTGCCATGTATGCTGTGACTATTAGTGATGAGGGTGACTGTTACCGGTGTTTTCCGCCCGACCCGGGCATTGAGACTGCTGCTCTAGGTACTGGTGAGGCTGCTGCTCTAGGTGCTAGCGAGGCTGCTGCTCTAGGTGCTCGTGCGTCTGCTCCCTCAGGTGCTGGTGAGTCTGCTCTCTCAGGTACTGCGTCAGCTTCGGCCTCCCACACCTTCACCCTTGACTCGGGGGCTTCTCGCTCCTTCTTTCGAGACCGCACCATACTCACGCCGCTTGGCCGGCCAGTTGCAGTCTCTCTGGCAGAACCCTCTGGGGGTCCTGTCCTTGCTCACTACTCCATTGTCCTCCCGTGTCCGACGACCCCCTCTGGCACCCTGTCTGGTCTTTAACTCACCTCGTTCTCTACGAACTTGGTGAGTGGTGCTGACCTACAGGATGCGGGGGTTCACCAGTTCACTCCTGCGAGTCGCGGGTGACCCACTGCAAGGACGCTCGGACAGGCCGACACCTGGCCACGTTTACACGTCGTCCGGGGTCGAGCATGTACACACTGACCACTGTGTCTCCTCCAGTCACTGCGTCTGGCCAGGTAGCTGCGTCACGTCAGGTGTTTGCTGCAGCGTCCAGGTCTGGTCCTGAGTCTGCACCCTGCTTGTGTCGCCTCCTGTCTCACGAGACTCTCCTCTGGCACCACCTCCTTGGTCACCCCTCCCTGCTTCGTCTCCGAGGCATGGCTTCTCGTGTCCTTGTCTCTGGTCTTCCCCGGTCCCTCCCTCCCCTTCCTCCGGGGCTTGGCCCTACCTGCGTCCCCTGTGTCGAGGGGCGGCAGCGGGCTGCCCCTCACTCCTCCCAGTTTCCTCTGATAGAGGCCCCGCTGCAGACGCTTCACATGGACGTGTGGGGCTCGGGTCACGTCCGTGGACAGGGTCACGAGCGCTACTTCCTACTGGTGGTTGACGACTAATCGCGTTACACTACAGTCTTCCCCTTACGCAGCAAGGGTGATGACACTGCGGTGTTGATCGATTGGATCCACGCAGCTCGTCTCCAGCTCAGGCAGAGCTTTGGCTCGGAATTTCCTGTTCTGCGTCTGCACTCTGACAGAGGCGGAGAGTTCTCCTCCGGCCTTCTGCGAGCCTACTGTCGTGCACGAAGCATCCGCCAGACCTTCACGCTTCCGCACTCTCCACAGCAAAATGGGATTGCTGAGCGCCGCATTGGCATGGTCATGGATGTCGCTCGTATGTCCATGATGCATGCGGCTGCCCCCCATTTTCTTAGGCCGTTTGCGGTTCGGTACGCGGCGCATCAGATCAACCTTCACCCAAAGGTCTCCATGCTGGAGACCTCCCCAGCTTTGCTGTGGACGGGGAAGGTTGGCGATGCGTCTGCGTTCCGTGTCGGGGGATCTCGTGCGTTTGTTCGCGACTTGTCTGCGGACAAGCTGTCCCCTCGTGCTACTCCTTACGTCTTCCTTGGCTCCCCCCCTGACGCGCCAGGGTGGCAGTTCTACCACCCCACCACTCGCCGTGTTCTGTCCTCCCAGGACATCACGTTTGACGAGTCGGTCCACTACTACCGCCTCTTCCCCTACCGCACTCCGTCCTTCCCCCCGCCACCGCTCTTCCTTGTACCAGGTCCCCCCCCGGTAGAACCCCTCCCCCCTCAGGGTCCTGCCCCTTCAAGTGTGTCCCAGGTAGACGCAGTCGAGCCTGTCAAGGTTACTAGTGACTTTGGTGCTGCTGAGGGTGCTGAGCCTGGGGGTGCTGACTCTGGGGGTGCTGAGCGTGTGGGTGCTGCGCCTGGGGGTGCTGAGCCTGCGGGTTTTACTACTAGGGGTGCTGAGCCTAGGGGTACTGCGACTGGGGGTGCTGAGCCTGGGGGTACTGCGACTGGGGGTGCTGAGCCTGGGGGTGCTACGCATGGGGGTTCTGAGCGTGGGGGTGTTGAGCCTGGAGGTGCGGAGCCTGAGGGAGTTGGGCCTACTCGTGTGGCGTTTGGCGGTGCTGGGCTTGGAGGTTCTCTGGGTGCTTCGTCTCAACGGGAGCCCCTATCTCCACAGAAGCTGCGTGAGTGGTTTGCCCGGCGCTAGAGGCGTGCTGCTGGAGCTGGAGGTTCTCCGGCTGCTGAGGGTGCTGGTGCCGCGGGTCCCGGAGGTGCTCGTACTGGGAGTACTGGAGCTGCTGGGCCTGCGGGTACGATTGGAGCTGGAGCTGCTGACGGTGTTGGTGCTGAGGCTATTGCTGTCGGTTATGGAGACGGTCCTACTGGGGGTGCTACTGGTGCTGCTGGAGGTACTGGAGGTGGGGGTGCTGCTCGCGCTGGTGCTGCCGCTGGGGGTACTGGTGCTGTCCTTGCTGTGTCTGGAGTCGCCGTGCGGCCTCGGCCGTACTTCGTTCCGCTCCTTCAGCAGGTTCTTGGTCTCCCGCCTTCTACATGTCCTCCTCCTCCCTTAGAGTGTCCACAGCCTGTCGTGTCAAAGTTACACTTACACCCGTCCTCCCCACTGCCTGCTCCTTCTCCCTACACTAGTCCTACTAGAGGTCTTGCTCAGCGTCGTGAGCCTGCGTCTCGCCCTACGTCGCCTGTCCATGCTGCTCGCACTAGTGGTCGTGGTTCGCGTCAGCGTCCTCCTCCTATCCCTGGCACGCACCGGATGTCTCTGCGTCCGTCCACTGCTCCTCTGCGTGCCCCTTTGCCTTCTCCTCCTCAGTCCTCTCTTCCTGCTCTTGCCGACCCGGAGTCGGACTCTGTTCGTGCTACCAGTCCTACAGTCACGCGTCTCCTTGCTACTGTCGTCACTAACCCTTCCTTTGAGTCCATTGCTGCGTCTGCCCTAGTTGCTGAGCTCGTCGACTTTGCTGCTCGCTGTCGTCTAGACTACGCTACTAGTCTTGTCGCTGAGTCTGAGTCTGTCTGTCCTCCGTCCGTCAGGGGTGAGTGTGCCCTTGCCACGGACGTCCTTGAGGACAGGCAGGAGGAGTTCTTGTGTCTGGCTGCTGCTTCACCTCATCTCGTGTCCGTACTGCTTACACCTGAGGGAGACCCGGATGCACTTGATATCCCGACTCCGCGCTCTTAGGCGGAGGCGATAAAGGGTCCCTACTCCTCTCAGTGGCAGGCAGCTATGGACGCAGAGATGGCTTCCTGGAAGTCCACAGGCACCTACGTTGACGAGGTTCCCCCGCGTGGGGCGAACATCGTCAGAGGCATGTGGATTTTCAGGATGAAGCGACCGCCGGGTTCTCCGCCTGTCTTCAAGGCGCGTTACGTGGCTCGTGGCTTCAGTCAGCGGCAGGGAGTTGACTACTTTCAGACCTTCTCTCCCACCCCGAAGATGACCACTCTTCGGGTACTGCTGCACATAGCTGCTCACCGCGACTACGAGCTGCACTCTCTTGACTTTCTTGCAGGGCAGCCTGCACGAGGAGATCTGGCTGCGCCGCCCACCTGGATTCACTGGGTCTTTTCCTCCAAGCACCCAGTGGAGCCTCCGGCGGCCAGTCTACGGTCTTCGCCAGGCACCGCGTGAGTGGCACGACACACTGAGGACTACACTTGCGGCTCTTGGGTTTGCTCCCTCTACTGCCGACCCGTCGCTGTTTCTGCGCACCGACACTTCTTTGCCGCCGTTCTACATCCTCGTGTACGTCAACGACTTGGTCTTTGCCACAGCTGACACGGCTGGACTCGCCCACGTGAAGTCCGAGCTGCAGAAGAGACACAGGTGCACAGACCTGAGTGAACTGCGCAGCTACCTTGGCTTGCGGATCACCTGGGAGAGAGCACGCCACACCATTACCCTGACTCTGTCACACATGGTGCAGCAAGTCCTTTAGCGCTTCGGCTTCACGTACTCCTTGCCTCAGGCCACTCCTCTTCCCACTCGCCACTCGCTCTCAGCTCTGCCTTCGGATGAGTCCGTAGAGTTGAGTGGCCTAATGTACCCAGAGCTTGTTGGCTGCCTCATGTACCTAATGACCTGCACTCGACCTGACCTTGCATACCCTCTTAGCATTCTCGCACGCTATGTTGCTCTTCGGAGACATAGACCGGAGCACATGGCTGCAGCGAAGAGGGTGTTGCACTACTTGTGCAGTAGGTCGGGCATGGGGCTTGTGCTTGGAGGGCGGAGTCCAGTGGTCCTCCCTGGGCACGCAGACGCTTCTTGGGTTGATAACCAGGCTACGCAGCGGTTGTCACAGGGTTACACCTTCAGCCTTGGTTCCGGCTCTGTTTCGTGGCGGGCTACCCGCTCGTCTTCCGTTCTCGGCTCGAGTTGTGAGGCTGAGATCTACGCCGGGGCCATGGCTGCACAGGAGCTTTGCTGGCTCACCTACTTGCTAACTGACCTTGGAGAGCCGCCTCATTCTCCTCTGTTGCTGTACCTAGACAACAAGGCCATGCTGGCCTTGTGTCGAGAGCAGAGACTGGAGCACAGAACGAAGCACATTGCTCTCCGCTACTTCCTTGCTCGTGAGCTGCAGCAGCGTGGTCTGCCGCGTCTTGTGTACGTGGCCTCTGAGGCCAACACTGCTGATATCTTCACTAAGGCGCTTGCTCCTTGTGATCATCAGCGCTTCTGTACTCAGCTGGGTCTTGTGCATGCCTTGCCTCACTTGCTCACCTCTTCACTGTGCTTGTACTGTTACACATATATATACACCTGCTCTTACTTGTCTAGCCTTTTATATATATATGTGCTTCTGCATGTGAATTAGCCTTGTGGCCTTGACCTTGTGCTCGGAATGTGTGGTGACTTTGTGATCCACCCTGAGCTTGCTTTGCTTTGCTTTGCTTGACTGGTCTTGTGACCCCTTGTACTCCCCCACTTTGCCTATGGGGGTGTGTCAGAACATTATAGCTTATGCTTTTGTGTAGGCTGTAGTGGGGTAGCCCATATGGGGTCCAACCCAATTAGGGTTAGTACTTGTACCCAACTCTTTCATGGTGCATTCATTCTCGTTGTAGTTTTCTCATGCAGAACTCAGCAGGAAGCACAGCGCGGTAGCGAGTGTCACTAGTGCGGAGGTGCGTAATGAGGTCAGCGACTGTGGGAAAGGCAGCAAGGCCAGGGAAGAGGTACGGTAGCATGAGGCGGCTCAGTGCAGCAATGGCATGGGAGGAGTAGCGTGCAACTACAGCGTCGTACAAGGTCTGAGCACTCTTGTACTTACTAAAGTGCGCACGCTTAGAGCTAGGGAGGTGGCGACGCACAGCAAGACGTGCAGCAGCATTGCGTGTGGCCCACTGTGAGCAAACAGTGGCGTCGGCATCAGCACCAGGGGCAGGAGAGGCACGAGAGGTGAGGTCAAAGAGGGAGAGACCGTCTGCCCTATCGCACTGTAAGAAAAGCTGCAGGTCATCTACCCAGACGTCAAAGTCAATGGCCCGACCCTCATCGTCAAAAGTGAGGACACTAGGGTTAGCCATGACAGCAGTAGACTAGTAGCACGAGCAGTAGGGTAAGGGCAGTGCAGTGACTGAGGCGCAACTCTTTCTGGACTAGGCGGCTCGGGCGGCTCGGCGGCTCGGCGGCTCAGCAACTCGGCGGCTCGGGCGGCTCGGTGGTACGGCGGCTCGGCAGCAACTGCGACTCGGCAGCTCGGCGGCTCGGGCGGCTTGGGCGGTACGGCGGCTCGGGCGGTACGGCGGCTCGGGCGGCTCGGGCGGCTCGGGTGGATCGGGCGGCGCGGCAGCTGCTCGGCGGCGCCGGCGGCTCGGTGGTGACGGCGGGGCCGCGTGGGGACGGCGGCGGGGCCGGGTGGAGCGGCGGCAGGGCCGGGTGGAGCGGCGTCTGGGCCGGGTGGAGCGGCGTCGGGGCTGGGTGGAGTGGCGTCGGGGTCAGTAGAGGCAGCGCCGGGGCCGTAGGGGTAGGCGACGGGGCCAGGGGTAGGCGACGAGACCGCTAGGGCAGCTAGGAGGGGGGGGGGGTCGCGACGGCGGCTGAAGAGGCCGCGAGGGCGGCAGGAAGGGGCCGTGAGGGCGGCGCGACGCGACGAAGCTGCGAGGGCGGCGGATCGGGGCCGCAAGGGCGGCGGATCGGGGCCGCGAGGGCGGCGCGACGTGACGCGGCCGCTAGGGCAGCGCGACGGGCCCGCGAGGGGCCGTTAAGGGGCCGTGAGGGGCCTTGAGGGCGGCGCGACGGGTCCACTAGGGGCCGTGAGAGGAGAGACCCACGGAGCGCGACTCGGGCAGGGACTGAGCGCGCTTCGGGCAGGAAAAAAATTCGAATCGGTGGGCCCTAGGAACAGTTCTCACAAGGGAACCTACTCTATACCATGAGAATATTAGAATGAGAATGAATGAACTATGAAAGATTTAGGAACAAGTACTAACCCTAATTGGGTTGTACCCCATATGGGCTACCCCACTACAGCCTACACAAATGTATAAGCTATAATGTTCTGATACCGCGGTCTCCTGGTCGAGCCAGCGCATCAAGTGCGCGACGCTGTCGTCGACCGAGTCGGAGTACGTGGCGGCCGTTGAAGCCGGCAAGGAAGGACGTCGCCTTCGCTTCCTTCTCGCGGAATTCCAGCGGCTGGACGCTGGAAATCCGACTGTCCTCAGGGTGGACAACAAGTCGGCTATCACGGTCGGTGAGGGCATGGGGTTAACGGGCAACCTCAAGCACATGGAACGGCGACAGGCCTGGCTGCAACACATGGTGAAGCGCGGGAAGTTTTCGCTGAAGTACATCCCGACCACTGAGAAGCCGGCCGGCTTCCTGACGAAGGCGCTGCACTACCCGGCCTTCAACCGGTGCTCCGTTGCAATCGGCCAAGTGCGCCTGGCCGATGTGGGCGACGGTGACAACGTCGTGCAGGAGTAGGTGCCATGCCCTTTTGCATGGCTGGTGCGGTGACCGGCGTGCTGTGCATTGTGTGCACGCTGACGCGCTATTCTCCGAGCAGTACTGCCATGTGGGCCAGGGGAGGGGCCCAAGCGTGAACGCGGCAGGGGAGTGTCAACGAGAGTTGTGTTTGGCCCCGTCCTCGCTTGGGCGGAGCCGACCATGGGAGCCACGAAATCTTGGGGGACCGCGGAGCCACGAAATCGTGGGGGACTGCGGAGCCACGAAATCGTGGGGGATCGTGGATCAACGAAATCATAGGGGATCGTGGATCCACGAAACCGCGGAGGACCGCGGTGACCGAGAAACCGCGGGAGGACCGCGAAGTACCCGGTCAACTAGGATACCCGGGTGACGTACGCGAAAGTCCCCGGGGATGTTATCTACGATGGCGATCTCGGGGGTGGTATCCCGAGGTCAACGTGGCTGGTGGGCGCCGTCACGGGTGGAGTGTCTGCGCTGGGCATGTGATGGGGAGTTGGGCGCCAACCAGCTTCACGCACCTGCGAAGCTGGTGCACCGTTGTCCCGCGGATGCGACGCTGTGCAGCCGACATACTACAGCGTTGGCGCACCGCGGACTTGCAACGTTGGCAAGCCGCAACTCTGCTCTGCTAGAGCGCGGTCGACTGTGCTGCGCTGGCAGCGGATTAGCAAGCCTTGTTAGGTCTGATGTAGTCAGTGTTGCTGTGAGAGTACGCCGGCTTATGCTTGTTATTCATGCTTGCTATTATTTCCATATGCTATTTCTAGCATAGGATAATTATATGCATGCATAAATTGCTTGATTTCCTAGGCTAGGTGCTTTCCTATATTTTATTATAGTTATAGCACCGAGCTAGGTTGCGTGCACCGAATTCTGGCTTTTCGGTTGCCACCGAATTGCCTTCTACCAAATTCGAGAAGGATCTGTCCGGGACGCTTCGCGACCCACAGACGCTTCGCGTAACACCTAGTTACGGGGCCTTGTGTCGAGCCCATATATAGCTTCGTGTTGTACCCAGGTGATCATTCAATTCGAACTCTCTTTTCTGAGCTCGATCCTAGATCCTCACACTTGGTATCAGAGCTCGTTTACACGCGAAGTTCTTTCGACCGCTAAAACCCAGTCTTAAAAAAACCGCGGGGGCGACGCAGTTAAACATCGATTTCGGGTACGTAAAACCGGTTCCGTGTTTTTCAGCTCCTCCTCGATTCGGTTTTCGAACACCCCTCAGATTTACTGGTGGAAAGGTTGGAGTTTCGACCGTTCGATCGAGTTTCATCTCAACGGCCCAGAGAATTTCGCCCAAAAAAGTTGGAATTTGGAGCGTCGGATCGATTTTCTCCTCAACGGCCGAGATCGGACGCGAATTTCGCCTAAAGGAGATTTACGCAACCTACAGAATTCGCGCTCGTCGATTTTACAGTCAATTTGACTCGCAGTAAGTCGACCAGCACCTAGAATTCGATTATTTTCGTCGCGCATCTTCCTGTAAATCACCAAATGGAGGGCCAAGGCGACAACTACGCGACTATGAGCGACATCGCGAGCCTCCGCACCGACATGGAGCAGACGCAGGCGACGCTTCGTCGACTCGAGGCTTTTTTAACAAGCCACCCGGCGCTCGCCACGACAGCAGCAGCGTCTGCAACCACTACAGCACCGACAATTCCAGCAGCAGTGGCGACACCGAT